GAATTTATTTGTAAAATGTGACATTGACTGATTTGGAATTAAATTTTAATATTATTTTATTCTTCCCTTTTCTATATAAATGTGTTTTGTTACTGATAAAAGAAGTTTTCATATCACCGAATGTGGGAGTGAAGATGTGGAACAGACTTAGTGAGGAACTCAAACACTAAGTCTGTTCCACAGTTTGTCTCCGTTTCTCGTCATGTTGTCAGTCTTCATGTCCTACTGCCATGTACCCCCCATGTGCAGTTTACTTCATGTTGCCACTCTGCTTAGTTACCACGCCAGGAGTTTTGTTTTGTACTTTCAGTTTGTAGTTCTCAGCAATAAAGCTGCATAAGTTCATGTTTCATCTCTGGAGTCCTGCATTTGGGTCCAACCTCTGCTTGCCACACAGCCAGACCTTGACAAACCCCCTTTTAACATGTTGTTACTGATTATGATTATTTAGTGTTAAGCCCCAATAGCCATAACAACCATAACAATACGTGGACGCATAAGCAAAATCATGTTTTCGATGACATTGCCATTGCAGGATTTTGTTTTTTGCTAATAGTCAAAAAACAAAACAAAAAAAGCCAAAGAATTGAATAAACAACTGTTATATTTAGTGAATCAAAAATAAATAAACTGTTCTATTGACTAAAGAAGAATAAAGTAGCGACAAAGCAGCATTCATATTATAAGACAGGTAATATAAATAGAAACTGAAATGTTCCCTTACACAAAGGACAGCCACCCACCTTCATCACAGTTTTGGCAACAGTTCGTTTGAAGGCCTCCTTCACTGCCCGGTACTCTGCAGAGGAAGGCTCCAGTGTAACGACCTTCAAGCTCTCATTAGCAGCCATGCTGTCCCAGTACAGAGGGTAAGTAAAGTCTGAAAGAGACAAGCATATATAGCATATACAACATGAGAAGAGACCTAGAGCCTATGTTGAGTTTTATTTTGCTATTTTACTGCAAATCTTTAATGAAGCACGTAAAAAGAAAAACGATTTTAATAGTATCATGAATGAATACAACCAAAACTTGCAATGGAGCCCGTCTGACAATAATATAACACTCCTGTTAAATCAACATGATCCAACCTTATCAGCTGATCTAGGATTTTCATACTTTTTGTTTAAAAGTGAACAGTTTATGGTTGCTTTCATGTTTCACAATGACTTTTGCAACCTTCTTTACTACAAGTAGTTTTTTAGTTTCTTTCTTCTCACCTCTCAGATTCTCAAGTCGCTTTAGCTTCATCGCCTGTCTGCTCAGTTGCTGTGTGGCCATCATTGTCTGTAGATTAACCTCCCATGTGAGTCCCTGTGCGTCTTTTATTCCTTCTGTTAATTCGTTGTTTTCCAGTTGGTGATTGGCTGTTCTGGGAAGTCTTTCCCAGTTACCGTTATGTGCCAGGATGCACCAAACAACTCGATGGTACAATTCCTCCTCCTCCCTGACTCTCACCTCATTAGCAAGACCCATTAACTGACACCGATTCATTTTCTGCATCACTCGGGTGACCCCGTCTTTTAGCCCGCTCACTGTTAGAGAGCCAGACTGATCAGTTTGCATGAATAAACCCTCAGACTCCACCAGCTCCTTCAGCTCCATCATGTCATCCTGGTCGAGGGGTTCCAGTTCCTCCTTTAAGAAGGTTTTACTGGAGCACTGTGTGTGATATTGATGCTTCAGCTTTTCCATGGCATCATCAACGTCTTTTTTGGAAAGACCCAGGAACGTGAAGACAGACTGCTGAATTGTAGAGCTGATTTGGAGACTGCTGAGGTATGCACTCACAGAAAGAGGAGGCTGTTGTTGTTGTACTTGAACTGGAAGTACTGGAAGTACTGGAAGTACTAGAACAAATCAGTAAAAAATTTCAGTAAAATAAATTTGTAATCAGTTTTTATTTTCAAATTCGTTTTAAAATTCAATTGCACATAAGATGTCAGTTTGTGAATATTTCTGTCACCTCTGTTGATGACAGCTGAGGAATACATCTGCATCGCTTTCTCTTTAAAAGCCAAGAAGACATCGATCTTAATCAGGATGAGACGGATGTTGGTGAGGCTGTTCATAGATGATGCAGA